TAATAACCTTGATAAGCTAGTACCTAGTCGAGTTGTTCTTTAAAATTTCTTCATTAAAACAATTCAAAAACAATTTCCAGGGGCAACAGTTTTATTACACCGGTAACTAGAAGCTGTGACATTTCGCTAATTAGCTTGATAGTAAGCTTATCCACGTATTTTCTTTCCATTTGTGAAGTAAAATGAATTGTAGACGAATTGAATTATCTAGTGAACTAATTGGCAAGTATTTTAAGTCAAGCATTTGCTTAATTATATCACCTTCTAGGCTATAAAAGTAAATTAAAGACTACTTACTTTTCACGTTTTCTTCGCGACGTCAAATGACTGCAAACGCCGTCCTGAACGGGACGTGTAGGACGTCGCTTCGAAAACCGGAAGTTAAAAACCGCTAGTTCCAGTCCATACCGCGCGCCGTCACGTCGTCTTCGGCGTCGCCGTCCCGATGCTAAATCAGTCTAATGTTATCCTCACCCCACCCCTGTAATTTTGACATGCTTTTAGCAGACTAGGCGGCCTATGAACTGGATGTTTTCATCTTGCAGGTCCAAGGTGCATTGAGGAACCGTGCCGTGAACAAGCGAAATCAGCAGCACTCTCTTGATGCTACACTAGCGGTAAGTTGCTTCAAGTTCAAGGTTGCTACAAAACTACAATAGTACCTATATTAGGCAGCCACCATCTAGTAACCGTTAAGCAGCCGCTAAATAGAGGTTGGCCGCTTGATAGCGTTTCTGCTGTATCAACAACAAAATAAACAACGACAGCTACTACCATCACAGCAACATGCAAAACAACGACACAACACATGACGCTATGGCTCACCTGAATTTACTGATAAAATGAAGGAGATTTAGATGAATATTGTTGAACAGCCCGAAATCACAAATGAGTTACGCAAAGTTGTACATTTTCACGGCTCGGCATCACTCAGAATCGACTCAGAATCGGGATTAACATAGCCATGTTTTTTTTGTTCAGAAATTTCAGGACCACCTGTTGACGATAATAGACCACAAGACTCACCTTTTACAATGATATATGTTATACTGAATTAAACAGTTAGGCCAGTTAGATAGTTTACCATGGGGTGGTTCCCTGGGCTCCTGAAGTCCTTCCATGTCCAACTTCAGCTTGAGTTGGAAGGGAGAGCTTCAGAGCCTTGGACAACTATCCACTGACCATTTAGACATGATGATGATCCTTGACAGACAGACAGACAGTGAAACAGACAGACAGACAGTGAAACAGACAGACAGACAGACAGTGAAAAAGACAGACAGACAGACAGAGAGTATAGGCAGACAGAAATATGGTAATTGACCACAAATCATTTTATTTCAGTTACCTATTTTTCTATTGGTTTTTAATTTATTTTCTCAACAAATGAGTTTTTTTAATATTTGTAAAAGTTGCTTCTTAGTATTTATTTTGCTTAATATATCAGGATTATTATTTTTGTTTTTATATTATTTTTATTACTTATTAATGTGTACCAGATGTATTTTCTTATTCCATAATATATTAACGTTGATTTGATAAGAGTTGTATGGTGGCTGTATGGTTGGTTATGTGTGGTAAAGTGTGATGTGGTGTGATGTGGTGTAGTGAGGAATGATAGGGTGGGGCGTGTTATGGCGCAATAGTGTAGTGTGATGTGGTGTGGTGTAGTGCGGTATGATAGGGTGGGGTGTGTTATGGCGCAATGAGGCTAGCGTGACATGGCAGGGTGGGTACCGTTATGGTAAGGTTGGGTATGGTAGGAAATTGTATTAGGGTTGGGTGTGTTATGCTGTTTTCTAAGATGCTGTGGTTTAACATTAAGTCCAATTCTAACATCTAAGATACATTTTCTAATCAGTATAATGTTGTATAATAACTGATTCACTACTTCGGCTAATGAAGGTCATAGAATCTTATCGTTTCAATTTAACCCACACTAACTCCCAAGTTTTGACTGGTATAACGCTTCTTGTCCATGTGTAGTCAATGTTAACTTATTCAGTTTTACCTCGTTTAAAGAAACTGAAATACAAACCTCTCCCTTGTCGATAATTATGTCAAGTTAGGAGCTTGGGATCTACCTAAACTAAGCTCCAAAATTCCATGCAGATATTTACACCCAGTGTTTCTAGGTACGATGTTTAACCAGTCAGCTTCTATAGCCTTCATAAGCCGATGTAGTTCTTTTCGAGCGTGTTATTGAATTATAAAAAATGTACTTGAAATGAGATGTAAATAAATATTAAACGAATACTTGTTGTCAGCGGTATTTTCTTTGCGCATGCGTGTCTGTACTCTTGGCATGTTCGAAGGAGCTAGTAGAAGCTGATTGGTTACGTTCAAGTAGGTAAGAACTGTAATGTCAATTTTTTTCTCTATTTCTATTATCATCATCATCATCATTTTTTTCAATTTCAGCACAATTTATTTATGCCTTGGTCAAAGGGAGACTGGTAACGACCTCGTAGCGCATAGGATTGTGGAAAATATTAATGGAACAAGACTAAAGGCTCAACGTGATCTTGTGTCCCTCAAATCAGTCCCACAATCGGATGTGCTACGAGTCGTCGTAGTTAGCTACTTGTTCGTTAATAGTCTTTTTTTGTACTGCATAGTCCAAAATAAACAGGCAAAGCTACCAGATTACGTGACAAGTGGCCATGACATTTACCCTCCTCCTGCCCCTCCCCCTCCCTCTGCGTCTTCAGAGTCTATTATTTGCTCTCATCATTGTTTTGTTACATCATATGTTGTTTGATCTTCACAGGGCCTGGCTGACCAAGGACTGCAGACGCAAGCTGACGTGATCCCACCACAAATACATACGGGACACGTATTACCACCACAATATCTGCAGCCAAGGTACGAAATTCTTCGTTTGTACTTAGCATCATCGCGGCCATAATGTTCGCAAACTATCAATAGCAAGGCTTTTCATATTTCTGGTATCATCTTATGTATATACTCAAGTGTAACTGGCCCCTGTAGTACGAAGAATGGATAGCGATATCCGACGAATAAATCTTATCCAGACTAGATGAAGAAAAAGATTACTTATAAGGAAATGACGTGATATGATATGTAAGAACATGACGCCAAGTGCCCAAGCTGAAAGTGTTATTCCTGCAGTATATTGGTCCACTGACATTGCGTATTTTTGTCTTATTAATGAAATAGTGAGACTAGAGTGAATGACTCAGGACGTCCAGAACCAATCTCATCACCAGTTGATCTGTTGAAAACTGAAAGTGTTATTCCTGCAGTATATTGGTTCACTGACATTACGTATTTTTGTCTTATTAATGAAATAGTGAGACTAGAGTGAATGACTCAGGACGTGCAGAACCAATCTCATCACCAGTTGATCTTCAGGCCAGGAGAGATTACCAAGTGAATGAACTTACACACATCGAGAACTTGCTAAGAACACGACGCATGGAGTTAAAGGAGGTGACCGCAAGCCTTGGTGATCGCAGACTTGAATTAGAGAACGTAATTGAGCAGGTCAGTGGATGATGGTTATGATGATCGCATTTATTATGGATGGCCGGTGAGGATGATGGTGATGATGGTAATGATGATGATGGCTGATGAATGATGGCTGATAAATGAGGATGATGGTGATGATGATGATGGTAATGATGATGATGGCTGATGAGTGATGGCTGATGAGTGATGGCTGATGAATGATGGCTGATGAGTGATGGCTGATGAATGATGGCTGATGAGTGATGGCTGATGAATGATGGCTGATNATGGCTGATGAATGATGGCTGATGAGTGATGGCTGATGAATGATGGCTGATGAGTGATGGCTGATGAATGATGGCTGATGAGTGATGGCTGATGAGTGATGGCTGATGAGTGATGGCTGATGAATGATGGCTGATAAATGATGATGATGATGATGGTGGTGGTAATGATGGTTATGCGGATGATGATGATGATGATGATGAATGATGATGGTAGTGATGATGGTGATGATGATGAAAATGATGATGATAATGAATGAAGAAGGTGCCATGATTATGAAGATGAAGGATAAAGAAGATATCTTCGTCTTGGTTCTTCAAAAAAATTTCTTCTTTCTAATACATCTATGGAGTAGTCCATCTTAGTATCCCAAACAAAACCAAGGATTTTTTCTTTTCACTGACGGCAGTTCAAACGTGGAGAGGAACGCCTTCGTCGTGCCGAAGATGATGCGAACCACATCGAACAACGTGCATCCGAGACATCCAATGAACTGATAAGGGCTGGTAACCAGTTGATGAGCTTGGAGCTCAGGTCCAGAACTATGATGGACAAAATCGAACACTTGAACCTGGAAACTGAAGAAAAGACCAAGAGGACGGCCGAAAAGGAACAAAAATGTCATGAAGTAACCAAAAAGTTAGAAAATCTAAACAAAGAGATGGAAGAGAAGAAAGAAGAAGTTGATAAAATGGAGAAAAAACTGAAAGAAGTTCAAGAGAGGCTCAAGCTGACACTAAGGTATTCTAATTCCTAGGAGAATTAGTATAGGAAATCGCACGATCTCGAGTACAATTTGGAAGGCGAGTGCAATTAAAGAACATTCAAAACATTACGAGTGTCTATTAATTCCAAATTGTACGAGAAGATCGTGCGATTTTTTGTTTATAGTTCACTCATCAAAATTTCAGTAAAAAATGCGAAGCGACGCCGTTCATCTTTGTCTATTTGGCGGCCAATTTCCAGTCCATCGCGCAACTGAAATGCATAAAAAAGATTAGTTCTTACGGCTTTATAAATTTATTTATGTTTTATTAAGTACAAAATGATAGAAAATAATTGTTTTGGCCGTGTTGCCATAGCGACTTAATTCGGTACTCCTACGGAGTACAATTAACGCTATAATTGTACTCCTCTCGACCAATCAGAGTCGAGTAATTTTGTTGAGTGTACTATAAAGGTGGTATTAGTCCAGGGGACAACAAAGCCATGCACGACCAGAATGGCTGAAGACGGCGTATTAGTAACGCACGTCAATCATCAACTTTACTATGCATCCTTTTTACTATTAAAACAAATCTATGAAAAAGATTTTGAGTAGTTTTCCCAAGGTTCTGTTCTTCTCTATTTGGTTTTTAAGGTTGTCATGGTAATGCAGTGGTTAATGAGCGCCCGCGTGCTCGTGGGTTCAAACCCACAACGTTCAATAGTAAGAGTTCACCTTTGGAGTTCTTTAGAATCTCGTTAATCCTTATCAATCAGTATCTTATATTAGATTTAATCTAAAATAATCTAACTATGAACGAACTACTTTTTTCAGACTGGAAGAGTTGCGTGAAATTATTTCAAGCACAGAAAAGGACGAACTCTTGAAGAAAGAGCAAAGACTGAATGCTCTAAAAGATGGCGAGAAGATTTTAGTTGAACGGACTTCTGAACTCGCTAGGACACGTAACGAGCTACAGAAGCAAACTACAGAATACCATCAGCTGAATGTTGACATCTCGCGAGCAAGAAAAGATCTGACCCAACTCGACGCAGCGGTGAAGAAGAAACATATTGAAATAGAAGATCTTGCAGCGAGGAAAGAGGAAGAGAGTGCTTACCATGAGGCTATCTTAGAGGTACGTGCTGTTGTACGACATGATCGGTGACCTGAACCGACCAACCATCGACCAGTCGATGGGCAACCCGACCAGACCGAACAATTATCGAACAACCAATTGGATGGTCGGACACTAAGTCGATTGGTTGGTAGTGTTTGGTTGGAGACCGGTCGGTTCTATAACAGGTTGTTTTTCGATTGGTCGATACGTAGTCGGCGTTGTTGGTCTTGATGTTGTAGGAGGTAGGTGATTTGAATGTTACCTTTTTTCATCACAGGAAGCAAAAGAGAAACTGGACGAAATAAACGAAGCAAGGAACGAAGTACTCTCTGCGTTGCGAAAACATCGTGAAGAACTCCTCACAATGAGAGAAAAGGTTCAAGAAGAGAATGCAAAGAAAATAAAAGCCGAGAAGAAATGCAAAGAGAAACAAGAAAACCTGAACAGACTAAACCTCCAGGTGGAGGAAAAAGACAAATATTTTGCAGAATTGAAGGAAAAAGTAAAAGAACACATTTGTGAACTTGAAAAATTACATGATGAAAATGATGAAGAAAGAAACAAGAAAGGCCGTTTAATAAAAGATGCATTGAAAATCAAAAATGAATACAAAGAAATTTTGAAAAGTAAAGAGAAAACTGAGCAGGACATGACAGAATTGATGGAAAAAATCGAAAAATTACAAAGGTAAAAGAAATTTTGAAAAAGCTTGTGCCGCAATTTTTCATGAGATGGGGTTACTTACATGACCAACCCCAACAAATCACCCCTCCCTCCCTCCCTCAAAACAGGTTGTAGGTACCTTAGTACCTCCTGGATGAGGTAGGGTTTTTCCTACTAACTCCAATAAATCACCTTTCCCTCCCAATCTTCCTCCTCAAACAGGTTACACTCCTTAGCACCCCCGTACACTCCCCTGAGGAATGTATTGCTTTTCTTCATTACTTAGGGACTTGCGCTCAAAGCAAGAACAGGCCGCTGACACCCAAAGCACATTAGAGCAGGCTCAAAAGAAACTAGACGAGACAAGAAATGAAAGCAAAGCTGCGTTGAATGAAAGAGACAGTTTGTTAGGAGAACTGAAGGACTTAAATCAGGCATTGACAGGTAGATATACATTATACAAGCCATTATGAGTCACTTTGTATTCTGGAAGTGACGTAATGGCCGCCATGTTGGATGACCCCAAAAAAAATTTGGACTTGCTTTTTTTTTATGTCTACCGACATGGCGGTCATGTCTTTTATCCTTGTGCATGTGAAACCATAGCCACCATGTTGGAGGATTTGAACAGAAGATTTGATCTTAGTTTCTTTTGTTATGCCAACCAACATGGCGGCTATTTTTTGTGTCCTTTTCTTTTTATTCTTTTCATGGGAAAGCATGCCTACCATCTATGAAAGAATGCATTTCTGCTTACTTTACAGAACGCACTAAAGAGCTTGAAGTCATAACCGAAGAAAAAGACAAAGTTTTTGAAGAGTTACAACAAGAACGAAAGGTTCCAAGGAAATAAAACTTTTTTTTTCAATTTTTTTCTTCTTTGTTGCTCTTCTTATTAATATGTGAAATATTTTTTGTCTTCTTTTAGAAATTCATCGAGACAAAGAAAAGTTATCAAGAATTTGAGACTGAGCTCAAGAATCTTCGAGAAGAGCTCGAAAAACGACAAGAAGAATTGAAGCAGGAGCTGGAAAAAGATAATAGTAATGAGCCTGCTGATAATGTAGTCAGCGGTGACCCTAAGACCCAATTAATGCAGCAAAAAGTTGAAAGAGAAAACCGTGATGAGCCTGCCGTTGGTGAAGTCAGCGAGAATACCCCAGTGATTCTGCGCAGGGAATTACTGGAGAGACAAGAACATTCAAGGCGGCAAAAAATTGAGAAAGCCGAACTTAATGAGCCTGCTGTGAGGGAGGTCAGCGGTAAGGAAGAACTCATGGTTCTTCGTGAAGAACTGAAAAAGAAAAGAGAACATTTAAAGACAAACAAGTCTATTGAGCCTGCTGTCGGCGGTAAAGAGTCTGGGTCTAGAAGGAGAAAGCGTCAGGGTGCAAAGCTACCAATTCCAATTAAGGAAAGTCGAGCGCCACGTGACCAAGGTAGTCTTGGGAATAGTAGTTCAGAGGTAAGCCTATCGAAGTTACTGCCGTCCAATAGGAAACCCGTCATGTGACTGATTATTCAAATCTCCGTTTAATACAATTCCAGAGACTTTCTCGCTCCAATCCTTGAGGTTATGAGTTTTACAAATGGCCTGGCACTCAGGATCCTATTGATGGATGAAGTGTTTAAAATAGCTTTCTCCTCGGTATTAGTACAGTACTGTATCTATATCTTTCAGGTGTCGGCAAATACTCGTGCAATCTCTAGCAACACGACAAATGTTCCAACAGACACAAAACTATCAAAGCCGTCTCGCAACCAAAAGTCGCGGGGCCAAGAACATGAGATGCCTGAAGAGATTGAAGAAAGCAGTCAAGACGAAGACAAAGTAGTCCTAGCTCTTCAACAAGGTATTAAAATCAGGCTTCCCTATTTCATGATTTTTCGAGGGTACCAAAGGTTTTCCTTGCTTTTTGGCTGAAAAAAAACTTTGGATCCACTGAGACAGCGAACATGGTGCATTATTGTCTAGCTTGGGTACAAGCATCTTTTATTTACGACACCTTATATAATGTTGGTTGTAGTCAAGCTAGACCACAATGTATAAACTCGAACTTAGAAAAGATCTATAAAATCGTATTTAAACAATTTTTAATGATAAGTATGCTAACCTTTTTTGCTGTAGATTCCAATCTACTTCAGCTACAAAACCGTATCGTGGAGCTTTCTAACGAGAAAGATAAAACACGAGAAGCTCTTAAAAACTCTGTACTGGAAGTGAGACGACTGAAAGCACTCATTCAAACGGTAAGAGACAAGATCGTGGACTCAGTTTTGTTTTCTGAGTTTGACGAACACGGTGCATTCTGGTCTACCTTGGGTGTAAAGGAGAACATATAAAGCATGGTAAGCTGAAGATGTTTGTGCTTGAGCTGGACCGTAATGCATCATGTTTATTATCTTAGAAAAGGTCCAAGTGTTGAATTTCTTCATATCACCCAAGATGGGAGGTCTGAGGTCATTGTGGGATGCTTTCACACAAGTATTGTTTTATCTTATCCAGGAAAAGGAGAAAACTCGCCATTCTCTAAGGAAAGCAACAGCCGAGGCCAAGGATTACAGACGTGCTCTAGAACATACACAGAAGGTTAGATGAAGTGCGCAGCTCTAAGAAGATCTAACTCGATTGGATAATACAATAGAACAAGAAATAATATAAACGAAACAATAGAATGAGTCGACAATGAAATACCTAATTTTGCCTTCTTATTTTGCTGTTAAAGTCAGTTTTATTTGTTTGTCCTAGGAGCATGCGCAGTATCAGCTGCGAGCGTCACGTGAGCTGGAATATCTTCGTGCAGAGGCAACAGAACAGTACAAAGTGGCACAGAATCTTGCTGAAGAAATATCCGTGTATAAACAGGCATCACTCCAAGGAGAGGTATTATTAGCAAACCTATCCATTCCTGAGACATGTACGATGTTGTTACTAGCTTCCGTATCAATGCATTTTGATTGGCCAAGATAGTGCGCATTTCCGTGCAATCTGATTGATCTAGAAAGGAAAACATTTGAATTTCAAAACTTTGTACGCTTTCCATATCTTTCTTGACCACCCCCTACTCCACTTAACTCTTTTTCTCGTTTAAAAATAAATTAATTAATAACTTTTTGTTATTCATTGATAGGAGAAAAGAGAGGCTATTGAGAGCGTAAATCCTACACAAGACAACATGGACGCCATTACCACACGCATTAAATCGGTAAAGAATTTACGCAGAAATGATTGTTTTGCGGAAGTATAGTATATTCAGAGTGTAATAATCGTAAGCAGAATCTACACAATCACTTTGAATCCTAGCACTCGATAGAACTCTTCACATTCACTCTCATGCGCAACCGTTAACAAAGGAGTAATACTCTCTATAAGGGAATGACACGTGGTCTGAAATATGGAAATGTTAAACACAAGGTAAATAGGTCTATTTTGAAACAAGTTCTTTCTTTCTTTTTCAGGAAATTCTTCACAGTTTGCAAGAGGTTGAACAGTCCCGTGAGATGACCCTTAAAGACATCCAAGACCTCAGACACACCAAGGAAGGGATTGAGCTGCAACTGTTAGCGCTACAGCAGTCATTACACGAGGTGAATACAGTTATTGCCTTTCAATATAAATTAAAATGATATAGATTCCGGGGAGGCTGGTGCCGATTGGGATTCTGGGACAAAACTAACCCTAACACTGCAATTTTTTTTCGACTAAAATCAGCTCGAAGTCCAACTATTTGACTACAGTTACAAGTGACGAATTAAAAATGCAAGATTTCGTAATCTTACATCTGCAAACTTATCCCCATAATTCTTTGTAACTGTAATCCTTTACGGGAGGGGTCCTTACCAGGCTTTCTATAGAATTGTTTCGAATTTGAATGTGTGTTATATTATTATCATTATCATTATCATCATCATTATTATTATTATTATTGTTTTAGGTTTCTGAGAAAACGCATAATTTACAGCAGACTAAAAATGAAGCTTCAAAACAGCAGGTTAGAATTACAGAATTTTAATTTTTCGATTTTCCAAGAGAGTCAAGAGAAGACATGGCAGCCATGTTGGTGATATTAACGGTGGATGCTAATGAGAAATGTTTTGTTAAATACCACCAATATGGCGGAGATAACGTGACTTGCAAACAAAGAATAAATAAAGTATGTAAATAATTCCACGTCTCGTGTTGGATGGTGCTCTTTTAATCACTTCGCTGGTTTTGTTCGTTTAATTTAGGTCGAGGAGCCCATCAAGCAGCTTATTAAGGACAAAACGTTTACTCGACAGCAGGGATTTCTCAAGGTGAAAATAAACAATAATAAAAGTATCATATCCCTATGCAGCCAGGCTTGCTCTTGGGATATTAGTGGCTGAGGACAAAAATGAAAGGGAATTGGGGAGGGGTGGGATGGGATGGGATGGGGTTGGCGGGTAAGGGACCAGGGGCTATTGCTGTGACTATACTGTATCAACGAATTTTGATTGGATAAGCAGTATTTTCGCGCGCTGTGATTGGGTTAGAGAAGGTATCTATATCGTGATCGTGCCTCCTTCATCAGGATTTAGGAGTTTGCCCAAAAGACGCATATAAACCATCTGTGCTTTGGCCGACCGTGTTTTTAGGATTTTTGTTTTGTTACATTCATCTTTATCATGTTTTATTATATTAGGATCAACTTCGGCAGCAAATGAGTCGAAGGGCGGAGATTCTTGAAGAAGAGCGAAAAAAAGCCGGCCAATCCTTAGAAGGACTGAAAAACAAACTGAAACAGCTCGAGAAAGTAAGTGAAATTCTGGCCGTTTTCCACCATCAAACAAAACATATTTAAATCAGTAGAAAAATTAGTACCGTGAAAAGAAATCCTAAAAACTACTTTCTTAATGTGGATAAAAAATAGCTGTATTCTCTCTTTTGTTATTCAGGTAATAACAAGGAAAGACTCCGCTGTGCAGGATTTTCGTATTGAGGTAATGCGTGCGGGCGCAGGAATGTGGTATCAAATTGTATTCTAGGGAGGAACAGATTAAAAAAGTGTTACATAATTATGAGAAGAATGGAAAAATGGGAACGGAGAAGGAAATACATGGCAAGAAGCTGGATACCAAAAAGTATATGTAAAGGAAGAGAGTGAAAAACGAAGGGTGGTTGAAATAAGAAAAAAGGGGAAGTAAAGTAGAAGTGAAAGAATGGAAAAATGAAAAAAGGAGTTGTAGAAGTAAAGAAAATGTTTCTGTTATTTCTTTACTAGCTTGCTAAAAGCCGAGTCGAAAAGGAAAAATCATTGGATACGGAAAAAGAGATGGATGAACTAAAGCGAAGACTTCGAGAGGTAGAAAGTGAACGAGATACCGTCAAAACACAACTGAATCATATGTCGTCTCTTGGTGAAAATACAAGACCTTTGATGACACCTCAAGGATTCGATAGCTTACAGAAACAACTAGAAATTCTGGAATCAAAATTAAGCGTTATCGAGAAGCCTCTCAACAAAGGTGACGAAGGGAGAGAGGGTCAGGAGCAGTTTGTCGAACGCCTCGTGCGACGACAAGTGCGATCTTCGCCTGAAGAGAAACGACTACCACCACAAAATTGGGAACTTCGCGGTCGTAAAATCAATGACAGAAACTCAGGGAAAGATAAGGAGAAATTGTATGACTCTGAGTCTCGACTATTATCTGATCGACCTTCTAGACCGACCACGGTCGGATTGAATGACTTTGAAACGGAAAACACTGTTAGCAACGTTCCAATTCATAGAAAACTAAAAACCAGGTCGTCCACAAGAAATAAAAAAGAAAATTACAATAGTAATGGTGGGAGTGATAATGAATCAGAGAACGAAATGCTCCGAGGGACATGGCGTTCATGGAGGGAGTCACGTGACATAGAGGAAGGTCCAGAAAAAGCGGGAAAATTCCTCCGGGAAAAAAGGAAAAGTGATATAGATAAAAACAGCGTAAACTATCCAAGTTATGGGCCACTTGCTTCTACCGAGAAAAGAAAATCACTGAACAAAAGTTATGACAAAAGTGGAATTGAGTTTGGGACTTCTTCAGGTATGTTAGAATCCCATTCTTGTTAATATTTTTGTTCGTTCGCTCGTTCGCTCGTTCGCTCGTTCGTTCGTTCGTTCGTTCGTTCTTTCGTTCTTCGTTCGTTCGCTCGTTCACTCGTTGGCTTGTTCGCTCAATCGCTCGTTCGCTCGTTCGTTCGTTCGTTCGTTCTTTCGTTCATTCGTTTTGAAAAAAAGTAGCTTTGCGCAAAATAATATTGCCAAAAATCCTTTTAAATTAGGCAATTGATTTTCTGCTGCTGTAATTTCTATATCCTCAAGGTATCAGAAGCTAGAGAGACAAACCTGCCCCAATCATTTTGTACTATCTGCAACGCACATCGATTGGCAAACACTGATTGTGCGCAAATAGAAGAATTGTTATTTTGTGGGGGGTCCTTGTCGAACTCTCGAACCCACAAAAACATATGTTTCTAGACCCCACCTAAAAATCCATTAAATCTTACAATTAGTTATTTGTTTACTACAATTATAACATTGCTTCCCTTTTATTGTCTTGATACAACATATGAATCGCTTCTATTAAGATGTTTAATCTGTTGACATTTAAAAAAACAGACCTCTCCAAGGAATTACAATATCTTGGGAATTACCAAAAAGATTTCTAGTTTGTTTTAACATATCATTTTCCCCTTTTATTCATTAATTTGACACTTTAATTTCTTTTCTCAATCGCTTTACCTCAATCGGCTGTCCGTCTTCAAATCAGCTTTCCTTCCGTCCGTGGTACGTGTTCAATCCAATGAGTATAATGAGTTTGATTTTCTACATTTGCTACGGTCTTCCGTTTCTGTAATCTTTCTTAATTGTTGGCCCACATTTACTTAAGTACTTTGACATTTTATTTCTGTGTTTAGTCAGTGTAACTTTACCATCTTAACAGGTGGAAATTTGGTGTTCATCGCCGGTTTATTTTTCATGTTTTTTCCTTTGGGATAATGATTTTTATTTTATTTTTAGTCCTTTTGAGAGCTGTTTCTGTTTTAAAACTAAGAATATTTTATCTTATAGAACTTTCCACCTCATTCTACGTTATTTCTTTTTTATTTTTATTTTCTTTCTTTCTTTTTTTTCTTTCTTTCTTTCACACAAATAAGTTCCTCTGACTTTGTATGTTTTTAAACAAAGAGTAACTCACATTACAAAATATTCCAGGTCATTCTGGATCATTCTTCCTTTTTTTTTCGTTCTTTTTATCACCTTTCTTTTTTTATTTTTCGACTTTCACACCATTTCGTTTCTCCGCCGCTTTCTCGTCACTATATCGCAATTTCTTTAAATTGTCCAATCTTTATCCTGAAATCATAACAAATTAAGATCGCTCGTGTGAAGATCGAGTAAGGCTGTTTACAAAATCTTCTCACAAAGACGTGACAAAAAATACTAAGTTGATTCTAATCTTTTAAGTCAAAATTAACCCGGCTCAATAGCATCAACTATTGTACAAAACAACTAAAATATACTTCCAAAATTAAAAATCAAAACACAAAAATACAAGGCTAATCTCCCACACAGTCAGTAAAACACGTCCGCTCCTTTTAGCGGCAATTTTTAGACCGGTCTAGATGAAATACTGGTGAGAAATCGATCTTGTTGATTTTCAAGTTTCGTATGAAATAAATACCAGGCAAATGACTGTACTTATCTCAGCTGATCAAGTGGTAGCTTTCGATAGACGGTCTTTTTTGAAAAACGTTTTAGGTTCCTGTTTATGGTCTGAGATTAATGCTCTTTGTCAGCTTGCTTGCGTCTTTGTAAACTTGAGCTTATTACATTTAATCTTAACATATCAATTATAGAAGAAAATCCATGCAAATAAAATTGGCATTGGCTATGTTTTCCTCCGCTTGTTTTCGGCTCGTCTCCTATCTTTAGTTTAATTCCTTTGTTTGCTCTCGCAGTGTTTACGACTTGTTATAGCTCATTAGGAAAGCGTTATAAAAACACGAGAATAATATAAACAGGATTAAATTCTTTTTAAGAGTTGGATTTAACAAGAAAAATTACTATCGCTTATCTAATGTTATCACATCTAAAATTTGGATTTAAAATTAATAATTTCAGACTTAGATCCACATAATTAGGCTTCCCAAGAGTAGTAACCGTTTGAGAGATGCTGAATAATATTCAAGGGAATGGTAGATTGTTTTATATCTTCCTAAGATTTACCAATAAAGAAAACACGATATATAAGAGAATGACGCGTGGCCTAGAATTGGGGAAACTACTTTATCTTTAATGAAATTTAAAATTTTTTTCTTTTAAGGTTCACTTACGATTTCAAGCATCGCAGATGACAAGAGAACAAAGGTATCCCACCCGTTTATTTCTTTCTTTCGTTCATTCCTTTCCATTCATATTCTCCTCTTCCGCTATCTCCTTCTCCTTTTTTTAACCCAACCATTTTTTTCTTAGTTTTTAGCTTCTGTTAATCGCCTAAAGAACGAAAAAGTTCGGGAACTAGAGATTGGTCTTCAAAATTTCCTGAAACATTGAGGTAAAATATGTCTAAATAGTTTAACACGAGCCTGAAAATCTTTGCGGACTATTATATATTTTATAACAAAGTATTATGAATAAACAATATAATATTTTACTGTTAACACGCATGTGCAATAGCGCAGCGCAGCCGTGACGTCATAAAAACGAAGACAAAGGCGAAATTCGGACAAACTTACAAGTTTACTTTCAGCAGATAATTTTCWCAGCCGATCGCAGTTGATCTTAGTTTACATGGGTTATTATTGTAACTTTAAGTAAAAATAATAAAATCGGTTCGTATAATCCTCGTAGCGGTTAAACAGAATGCAATGTTTGTCCGAATCTTTAAGCTATTTTTAGAATCAGTGCGCTGCGCTATTGGCAGACATAAATCCAAGACTGAGGGATGGGGATAGCCGTACCTAGATCAAACGCTACCATTAATCGCTTAAGCAAAAAGGATCCTGTACAAGTACTTTAGAGATTGACATCTACACTGATCCGATAAACATATCTTGCTCGTTGGTTAAGGAATTTTAGCAGAGAGATCATTTTCTGATTGCTAATTTTGTGTCTTGAATTTGGCCAAAAATATACAAATTGATGAAAGTAATGCGATCTCTCAATGATGTAACTCAGTCAGAACTATAACCTTTCTTTTAGCCCCTTTTTCCTTGTTTTCTAATAATATATTGTTATATTTTTCTTTAATTTGACCGTTTTCTCAAGGTTGCGTGCACATCAAATTTAAGGAACTTGACGGGCCACGACACCAGAACACGAGTATTATAAAGCATTGCTATGAAAAGGTTTGCGATAAAAATTCATAAAATCGATTATTCTCCTCTTTAAATATAAAACTGTCTTTGTTTTGTTTTGTGCCCCGATAAGTTGGATGCGTACGCAGCCTTGAGAAAACCGTATATTCTAATTGAGTTCTTTCTCTCATTAAAACCTATTTTCCATTTACCTAGCTCTTCAACTTCGACATTCCCTTTCAAAATCCTAATGCCATTGTTTCTTAATTCCTCTTTGTGATAGTGTATCTTTATTTATATATCAATATAGTATTAATCTTGCTTTTTTGAATGTTTTTCTTGTTATCCGCTTATAATTGATCTCAACATTCAGACTTCTCTTTTTTGAGTTTTTACAGCCGCGTCTGTAAATCACCTTCTAAATCGCAAAATATTTTGATCAGTAATTCAGAGATAAGATCAAGTTCTAGCGATTTAAGCCGTGCTTCAACTTCGTCACAGCGGCCATGAAAGCTTAACGACTCCGTAACATCCTTAACTACTGTCTACATCTCGAGTACTTCGTACTTTTTTCTCACTGACGAGTACTAGCTGTCCTAAATATTGGCTTTAAGGGTGTTTGCTCTCAAGCGTTCTGTAATGATTGTTAAACGTGCACACGTGCTAACTAATTATTTAGGAAAACATCCCTACTTATCATTATAATGATTCAAACCTTCCCATAGGGGATTTCCACGGAATTTAACGCATTTCAGGTTGGTACGCGGAAAGTTTTTTTGTACTTTTACTAAGAAAATGGTAGAAAGAAAATAAAATATTTTGACTTTGGGGTTGTAATTTTATCGAAGCGCAAAATACTTAGCAACGAATTGCGAAAATAAATTACAAAGTTCGAAATAATAACACGTTTCCTTAGAAATGCTCCAGTGTTAGCGAGAATGACAGCCATTGAGCATAATACTTTGACTACGCGTTAGGGAGTCTTCAACGATCTACAATCACCTTATATTTCATTGTAAAGACTCCATTGTTCACTATGAAACGCTTGGGTTTACAAAGAAAAAGACATTGCTGGAAAACAAAATGGCTATCAAATACCGAGCGAGTTAGCTAGTCTAATACAATACAGACTTGTATTCAAATGTAGTGTAAACTCGTGCGAGCAATAACTCAAATATTTGACAAGAGCCATAGTGATTAGATTTTGAGCGTTTTGTAGCGTTCAATACCACTGATTATCACAAAACAAACTGACCCAATTGAGATATTGCGGACATTAAAGTGCAGGTGTCAATCCTTTTGCACTAATTCTCCATTTTCATAATGCGATACCTTGAATCAAGTTATACTTTAATTAGAAAAGGCTTTTTATGACGGGTTAATGAATCAAAGAAATGATACTGTTCGGATCTTTCTTTGTCTATAGGTCTTTTAAAGGTTTAATCTGGGGAAATAAGTATTTATCTTGGTATCCAATATTCTAAATTCGCTTAGCTTTACTCTTTGTCAAAAAAGAAAAAGTTTGGGATAGGAGATTTGGCCATCAGTCAAATACTAGACAAAATGTCTGGGACGCTAAAATCGCAAGATGAGTATTACTCATGGAATAAGATGAAAATTTATATTATGAACAAAATCCCATATCAACATTGATAGCTCTGTAAACTTCCATTAAAATCAAGCTTAGATGCTTATTGGATATACAAAATTCTTGCGATTTTTTTCAATTCATACTCGAAGGATACGAAATTATTTTTTCATCCAAGCTGAAATATTGGATGTGAGAGAGAGGCTTGCTCGATTCGGCATGTTATAGAATCTGTTAAATCTAATTGTTATTGTTATACACACGTGTAAAAGAGTTTTTTTTAAATATCTTATTGAATAGAACATTTTTCAAATGCAATCGTGTCTTAAAACAATGTTCTAGAAAATTGGAATTAAAGAAAACATTATTTTAAAAACCTTTAATCTCAGTTAAGTCTTTCTACACAAAAATATTGAGCGTAATAATTATTTATTTTATAGCAATAAAATGTAACAGGTTTTTAGAGCTGATTCTTTTTAAGGTATTGTGAATTACTCAACTTAATATTTTGTTTTGAGGAAAGGATTTCAAACTATTCAAGCGCGGATATCTGTTATCTTATTTATTTGTGATTGGCTTCGGTAAAGTGTCGAGCCTGTCTTACACAAAACGAAAACTAGAAGTCATTAAGCACAAAACTGCATTATTCTTATTAGTTTTGGAGTCGCTAAGCAATTCTCAAACGGTAACTACGATATTAAAAATACAAAGGATAAGTCAGGCTTTCAAGCTCAATAAACGTTCGATATTATTCTAGCATTAACTAATAAATTCAACAGTTGTTTCAAACGATTTCAACACGTTACAAACTAAATTTCAGTGTTCATATTTAAAAAGAAAATCATAATCTAAAATTCAAATTTATTTTTACTTTTTTTTTTGAATTATTATTTTGTTTACGCGCGTAAAGAGAGAACGATAATTCTCGCAATCTTCCAATTTTGATTTCAAGGAAATCCCAGTAAATCTGTCGATAATAGATCTTATAAATGTTCTCATCTTTCTGAATTTAATTCCGCTTTCTTCCAGAGGTCTCTGTTTCACTTCCGTTAGGGTATTTTTTACTTTAAAAAAGTATCAAACAAGCCATTATACCCAGGTAATTGAGTAATTAGTTTCAAATCAACTCCGTACTGACACTTGAGTTTTAACAATAGCTTTTATTTCAAGGCCCTTGCTTCACAACACCGACCCTTTTTTGTTAGGATACAACTTTAATATACCAAAGAAAGCTTCAGAAATAATAATCAAACTACACAACAACTGAAAAACTTTTCATAGATTATTCTACGTAATATTTTTTTGATATAAAATCCGTAATACTATATCGTGGTAAATGTATGTACAAGCTTTGTCTTTATTTTTGAAACTTTTTATGAAATTTGTCAAATTTTTACCTTTTCAACCGAAAAGGTAATTTTTATTGTTATAATTTCATAGTCATTCTCTTTATGATTTTTCCTGCTATAAAGATTTACAGGTATTTTCAGTTTTCTTTCTGTTTTATATTTTTAATTTTTCGGCAAGAAAATAGTCGTTTTTCGCCTTAAATTTCCCCCTTTTTTTGTCATAACGAATGGTATTTTCTCTACACTATTATTTTTGCAGTTTTATTTTATCAATAACAGTTCAGTTCTCCACACTTGCTCTGAATTCGTGACGAAGAGTGTGTCTTCTAACATCAACCTTTCTATAGAACCTTCTCCCACAGATCTTACACGGAAAAGGTTTGATTCCAGTGTGTCTTCTCATATGTGTCAACATATTAGAAGATTGACTAAATACTTTTCCACACTGCTTACACTGAAAGGGTTTCGCTCCGGTATGCATCAAAGTATGCTTCTTCATGTCGGATTTTCTTAGGAACTTTTTACCACAGTAACTACAGGAGTATGGCTTGTGATCGGAGTGAATCAATCTGTGTGTGCTTAAACTTGAAGGCCTACGGAATTCTTTGCCACATTCTTGGCATCTAAAAACTTTGGTTTTGCTTTCTGTTTCGCCTGCTACTTCGTCTCTGATATCACTCGAGGGTGATGAAAGAAGCGTAGTTTGAGGCTCAAGACTATAACTGCCTGTTAGCTTTCTTTTCTCTGGGTCTACGGGTTGAAATGCTGTTTGATGAGGCGTTTCTGGCATTGACGCGGCTCTTAAAGACTCTGGGCTTATTCTTGGMGGGTATGCAGCGCAAGGATACAATGATCCTTCATGGGGAAGAAATCTTGTTAGAGATTTATGTAGATGAGGAGATGTAGGAGGGAACGGAAAAAACGGCCTCGGAAGATAGCAGGCAGATCTAATACGAAGGTATTCTTCCATCGTCAATCCCTGGGGCGGGGGGAGACAGAAGTAACGTGGAAATGCATATTCCTTTTGGCTCTGGTATAACCTGAACGAGCTTCGGCAATCGTCAAACGAACTCTTAGATGTTGCGTGAGACGAAACATAGGGGACAAATCCACGCTTTTCAGGCTGAAGTTCTTCTTTTTCATCTACAAATAAACAAAACCTTTATATTAAAACCTTGAACTAATGATTCTTAATATTTACTTAAAATTAAAGCAAAGAGCCAAGGATAAGAAAGGTTTCTGTGTGTTTCCCTAGGTTATATATCCTTGACAACAATATGGTCTCGTAAAGAATTAGAAAAGCACTTTGCGTTTGAAATCTAGATGGGGATCTCAGTCTTCTGTCGATAAATCTGTTTCTCAAGCATGAATTCTGTTTATGTCAAGATTGTACAAATAGGTAATAAATTTTACTTCCTAAAATCGTTAACTAGCAATCTGATTTTTTTTCTCTTACTACTAGTTCTTTTATATTTTATCGCATAAAACTATCACCTTGCTTCGTACTTCTTCACATTCCTATCTCGCCATCTCGCTGTTAGGACAGCCGTAATCGCTTAAATCGAGTCAAAACAACTTAGTTTAAACAGTAAAATCATGTATTTTAAAAACCGCATTAGAAAAATCCTGCAATTTAAAAAATTGTTTTCGCAAATCTAGAGGATTCTAAACCGATATATATCAATACAATCCACCGTAAATAAGATATAAATGATTCTCGCTTTTCGTAAGATTTAGTTGTGGCTAAAATTTCCGTGCTTGAAGGAGGTAATCATTTTGAGAATTTTATGTTTCATTTTCGACTAAACGTACGACATTTGTATGAATTTTTAGAGAGCAATGCAAACGAAAAAACTTTCTACTCTTAAGCGAACTTAAAACACTGAAAATAAAAACATTACTAGATTCTTATTGCCGTTGTAATTGAAATATAATTTCAATACTAAGATGGAGCAATACTGACTTAACAAATGAATGATTTAATCATCCTCATCTTCTTTGTCGTTTTTTATATTGCTGGGTTTTTTTTAAAGTTCTTGTCCATTTTTGTCGCATCGTTTTGAAATGTCTTTATTTATCAAAATAAGATATTTTGACATGAAATAACTTCTCCGTTTCAAAACTTAGGGGGGTTTTCCTTAAAGAATGAAGATGCTTGGGAAAGTCATTTTGGATCAATCGTGCACGAGCCCATCGCTGAGAAAGCCGTATCTGTAACTCTTAGAATCGCTTGTTTTCCCTTCTCGGCTAAATTAAGTGAAAAGTGCTACGCTCAAAACACAAGAAATTAGTTTGTTAGTTAACCTTTTTAGTAAAGCATAAATCATACCCCTACTGAATGTTGCCATCAGTTGGGTTGAAAAGTCAGAAAAATCTTTGATTCTTCAACTAATGAGGATTTTTGATTTAAAAGCTTTGAGGGCAATCTCCAGCCCTCTTTAATTTCCCGTTTTGTTAGTATATTTTTCACTGAAAATCAAAAATAAAAGGAACGAAACCTTTGATTTTTTTAAACTTGTTGTAAAGAAAAATATGTTGTTGAACCTTTTTCAGTTTTTTTGTTTTTTTTGTTTTTGCCTTTTCAATCTTGAAATTTAAAGTTTAATGTAAAGATGTTATTTTTCCATGGTTTTGATATGTCTTAAACAAGTTTTGTTTCGATATGATCACTATGAATGTATCTTATTCGCTGTTTGAATCTTAGTGTCAATTGTTTTTGCGTCTTTTAAAAGAGGACTGATTAATTCTAATGTAATTATCAGGTATTGAGTATAATGGTTATTGATGTTTTCTCTGGGCTCCCAAAAAAATCCGCTTGTCTAGAAACCATTTTATTATTCTTTTAGGATTCTTTGTGAATGTTGTTACCATATTTGAGCTCTTTCCGCGCTTCTATCAATAATTTCACAGCAAAACAACACCATGTATGATTTTTCAAAGTATTAACTCAGTTAACACTGAATCACTCGAGTTCCAAACGCTCCATTCATTCATTCATCTTACAGTCTCCTTGACTTAATTCAATTTTACAAAGTTTCTATGTAAAAGGTTAAAAACAGAAGTTTGAATAGCTTAAACAAAGGTTTGCCTAATAGTCTTTTTGTGAATTTCTTAACTCTTATATGTCGCCAAAGTGGCTTTCTTCGAACCTGATTTCCATCTGTTTACCCCTCCAAAAACTCATAAGTATCATTCTTATACCTCGAAATACGACAGCCCTAAGACAAGTGTTTGGACTTAACCATATCGTTTTATCTCATTTATAGGTGAACAATGTAAAGCCTTGAACAGCGAACTCTTGAGGTAATAACTTGGCAAGTTGAGGCGTTTCTTAGAACAACTCGGAAACATATGAAACCTTCCAGCCTATTTTCTGATTAACTTTTAAGAAATTGGCCTCAAACGATTTCTTTAACAATGTCCCTATAACTTACACAAATTTATTAATGTCCCTATAGGTTTCTAAATCGAACCAAAACACTTTCTATCTGCGTTTTTTGAGCATGTTCGTAGCTTCAAGGTATGTCACCCTTTTCAAAGCAAAGGAGGGTAGTTTTTGGGAAGAGGTTGATGTGATTGTCGCTATAGATTACGACGACTTACTGTTACGATTATATAACCATTAAACAAGGATACCATGGAGCTCAATGTAGCTATTTCGGTTGCCTGTTCTGCTTACGTAGAGCGAACTTCGAGAAATTCTTGATTAATCGTTCCCAAAAATGCAGGTCAATTTCCCAAGAAATTATTTTCCTTAGCAAAAAAAAAAAAAAAAAACTACTATAGTTCTATCATAATAATAAAAATTAACTTAATGAGTGATTCAAAGCTAGTCGTGAACAAAATGTTTTAGGTTGAATAAGGATTTGATATAAGTTAGTAAGTACCCTTACCGATTTCAGGATTTTCCTCTTTAATCTTGATTTCATTTTCTGGAAGAGCTGATTGCTTCGAGCGCACAAGAAATGATCTAGGCATCTCTAAATCTAGTTTAGTTCTTCAAAATCTGAGGTAATTGAGGTATCTGACTGCGGAAGAGGTTTGACCGAAGCACTAAGGCCTTTAAAAGACAGGTACTGACTAATACCATTTAAATACTCACTTTAATTATATGTAAATGAGAAGTTAATTATTGCTGTATGCGCGAGGCCCTGTCGCACTCTTTAAGGAGATGACAATACGCATATGTTGAAGTTTTTACTTCGTACAATGCCTAAAGCCGAAGTACCTTTTGGAAAGTCGGCCTTCAGCCTCCAGGCTTATCGGGTCGTCTACTTGAAACAATCGCCTTTCTTTGACTCATTTTCACAACAAGCGTTGGTCATTGTGTTTGAGATCAAATGGTTAAATTGCTTTAGGATTCTTTGTTGCCAATGTTCAATTTGAACACCTATCAAAAGCTTGTTTAGCAGATGGATTAATGAGAGGAATTGCGCGATAGTTATGGGATTTCCGTATCGTATAACTAAACTATTGTGCAAGATCGTGTGCGTCGCTCGCAGTCAAAACGGCAACCCCACACATGATCGCTTTTTATATGTCTTCATTGCTCTTTCTCTTATTATTTTCCAACTTTTCGCACTTTTCCGTGACGAAAAAGAACACAGTTTTAGAGAAACCTAACAAGTTAAATTCCAATTTGATCTGTGAATTTTCGAGCCCCGTGACAATGATCAGCCCAGATGTTGGTTCAGGGTTCGATCTGTGAGTTAGCCTTACCCTGACTTAGATCAGTCTAGAGAATGTTTTAGGATTCGATCCTTGAGTTATCCATTCCTTGACTTAAATCAACCCAGAGGTTGTTTCAGGGTTTGCTAAAATTGAGCTAGGGACTTTTGAAGAATTACCCACMCACCCGCATGCACCCATGTGAGGGGGAAAGAGCCGTAAATAAATGGAGTGATACTGACACTGATTAACCCACCCCACTGAATCATTAACTGAATCTCTTGCACACCATCTAGCCTATCAAAGGTATCTTTCAAAGTATGAAATTGTTTTAAAGTTCACGCGTGCATATCTGTTATCAACCAGATGTTTTACATGATGTTGACTAGCGGTACACAATACCTTGTTCAAGAACAATCTAGTGACATCTCGGCTCTAAAGTGGTCGTATTATATAAATACAGGAAAAACCTACAGAATGTTTCAATTCGCAGGGATATCACTGCAGAATAGGAAAATCACATCTCATTTTGCTTCCATTGAGAAACCTTAATAGAAACCTAAAACTAGAATATGTTGTTGTATACATCTTATTTTTTCAACGAAKTTTTTCCCTTTTTCTTAATTTTAAAAGAAATGTAGCTTCTATCAAGTCGTCATGGAAACATGACCCTTTTTTTCTTTCCAATACATATTCGCTTTGGGAACACGTAATTGTCGCCTTCGCAATAGTTAGTCACATAAGGTATCCTTGGCTATTGTTTCAGAACGTATATCAAACATAAGGCGAAGGTAAAACATCGTTTTAAGAACGCCAGAAGGTTTACAAAACCGTGTCCTCGGATTCCAGGAAAAAAGAGATTTAAAACGACATTTCTGCTTAACTTTTACCCGTGTTTGTTTGACAGGGTTTTTTATTTTTTTCCTTCTTTTTTTTATTTTTTATTTTTTTGTCTTCATTTTTTTGCTTTAGTTTTAAACAAAAATCCAAGCTTCGTTTTAGCTATTTATTTTTTTGCGTTTTTTCTTAGTTTATTCGCTTTTAGGAAGGGAAAATTACGTAATTTGTAATTTTTAGGTAAAACAGTAAAGCCTTCCTTTATCGTAACCTTAATATGAAATTGAAATTGCACGCCCTAAACAAGGCATAAAGAATATTACACAACCATTTGTGATACCTTTTGTAAAGCAGAAAACAATTGACTAGTTATGTTTATATCTATCTAGCTTGTAAGCAGGAGTCACAAAAAAAAAAAAAAAAAAAAGAGATCTGGAACGCAAAACCTCGGTATTGAAAAATTCTCATCTAACATTTACTAATGAAATCGGCTTAGTTAATTCCTTTTTTTAAAGATTTAGTTATATAATTATCACCAATGTAACAATCGTTTTTTCCAGTTTGTCAAAGCTAACAAGTGGCTGTTCTATAGTTTAAGAGTGCTAATAAATAACAAGAATTTTAGATATAATTGAAAAGAAAGATTGGTTCAGTATATTTGTTTTCATGTGACACTCTTCAGTGCATATTATCGTATTAATTTGGTCAATTTGAGCGTCGTAGTGACATTAATTTCGCCTAGTTTTGACATCAGATTGACTCTCACCGCATTTATGGTAATCTCTCTGGACTGTTTTTCAAAAAAATGTGCGCGGAATTTTCCACAATCAATTGTTCGTTTTTTATTAATAATGCGCTAGACAAAAGCGAAGCTGCTCCTTTAATTCAGTCATCTAATAACATTTTTCCCTAGAAACGTATCCATAGTGCTTTTTCTCATTCCTATTGTTGAGCATTTGGGGTTCTCATTTTTCATGTATACATAAGATATCAATCTTATCCAAACTTGGTTTCTTGTATATTATGTACAATTGAAGCCCTTAAAAATTGTCCCAAAGAAACGCTGAAAATATGCTTCAAGATAGCTTATTGAAAGGCCAAGCATGTGGCTTTGGTACGTCTTTTTATTGTTTTATAATTAGTATTGCGTTGATGGCCCACGTGGATTGAGTGTCTGCAGGTAAAATATGGTGTAAACAATACAGTCAAAAAAAAAAAAAAAAAAACAAAAAACTTTCCTATTGCATTAACCCTTGTTGCATTACGCCCTTTTTCTTATACGACCAGACTCGTCCTACTTCAACCACTAATAATCATTTTAGAACTATTGTCTTGAAATGTTATTTGTTCATAGCTAGACTTATTAGGGTATTTGGCGGTTGATAACTGGAATAAAATATCAACTTTGTTTACAAAAAAAATATTTTGACTTCATCAGTTTTAGTAATTGATAATTCAGCGTTAATTAAGGTTACAATTTTTTAACTCGTGCACTTTGAGATTGATTGACTGAAATAGAATTTCTTCTCGGGCAAACAACACCAGCTCGGTCATCTGTCCAGTTTATAATCTTCAATCTCAAAACGCAAGTCTTAGTTTATTTTGCTTAATCTTAATCAAAAAGCAGGCAAAGGGCCACAGGTTTGTTAGCATATTGCTATTTAGTGCTACCCTCGATAAATAAAGAGTTTATTATTATTATTATAATAAAACGCATGAGTAACGTGAAAAATTCTAATGTGCTCAATATATGCTCAAGTTGTGCAATATTTATGCAGAGAAACCTGTGGTGGCCCATCTATTGATCATAAGTTACACATACCTTTTTCAGTTCTCGCCAATAAACAAGGTTACTTATGATTTKCACACGTTTTTTCTACGTATTTACCAGTGGCGGATCCAGGATTTTTCAAAGGGGGGTTCCGTTTCTTAAACTGTGTATAATTCTCTTTTGTTTAGTCGATGTCTGACAAAAATTGGCTCTAATCACCTAATTTACTATCTAGTAACGGAACTTAAAGGTAAATTAAACATTATAACAGCAAATATTTATAATTTCGTGTTCAACATTATCCTTGTGGATACTTTTAAGCAAAATTTTTATAAGACATATTTCTATTACCTAAAAGATCAAACCTTCAAGGGGGGTTCCGTGGAACCCTTCGAACCCCCCCTGGATCCGCCATTGTTTACAGATATAGCTTTTCTTTTAAAGAGATTTCTTTTTCTAAAAAGTACAGCTTGTGCTCAGATCTCAAAGGCCATTCGTTTTGTGTGTGTGTGTGTGTGTGTGTGTGTGTGCTAAAATCAATAGCATAAAGATAAAATAAAAATACGTGTGCGCTTTGAAAACCCACTTAAAACCAATGACTTGAAAAAGGACAATCCTTATGAATCCTTGAAGTGCCATAAAAATAACTTTTCAAAGAAGGCAATAGATTGTTATCACATTTTAAAACAAATGTGCTAAAAATGATTTCCGTTTAAGCTCTAATTCTTTAAACAAATTGGCAAATTTTCGCACTATTGTATTACTGATAATGGTTAAAGCTTTTTTAGCACTTAACCAGGGTAAAAAAAAGGTTTTTTTATTTGACCTCAAGAAGCCTTTCACCTGGTCACTCTTCGGCGCACGCATGGTGTATCAAGCCAGACGCGTTGTGTAACATTTCTCATTAGCCACACTGGCTACTGAGTAAAGGAACAAGAGAGCCTACCTCGAGATGTCTGCAGCATAATATATCACAATGGAAGACCCAGTTGCTCACCACGCGAATAGGTCACAGGTAATTAAATACTAGTTGTTTCACCCACGTGCGTACGTATTGTCTGTAGTCAAAGCTATGACAAGACCACTAAATGATACGTAAACTAGTTAACTATGAAGCCCATGTATACGAACATTCCTTGTGGAGTTTTTGCGGTTACCTAGTGACCAATTTCCGTACATTGTAAAGAGAAATTGAGAGGTTAATTTCATTTTATAATGGTGTGTTAACTCGAATAATTTCGTACAAGATGGCTTTTTTTGTATTTGAAACTGAGCTTATAAACACTTATTCTTTACCTTAGATACTAGAGTTTTATCAATTTAATTTATATAGTGTTCATCCCAAGTTCCCCAAATGTAGTTACACTTCACAGACTAAATAAGACAGAACACTTGAAAAAAAAACTAAAAAAAAAAAATTCAAAGCTAGTATTGTATTTTTTCTAATCCAGTTCCAAATGATCACAAACACTTTAAGGTATTAGGATACGAAAAATGACGAATTGC